TGTTGACCAGGATGGTCTCGATCTCTTGACCTCGTGATCCACCCGCCTCGGCCTCCCAAAGTGCTGGGATTACAGGCGTGAGCCTCCACGCCCGGCTAGAAATTTCTTTAGGGAAGGGCTATTAGTGGTAAACTCTCTAAATGTCTCTGACTTTTATTCATCTGAAGAAAAGTATCTAAACTTAAAAATGTTTGACACATAATAATTATACGTATTTATGGGGTACAAAGTAATGTTTTGATATATGTATATATTCTATAATGATTAAATGAAGCCAGTTAACATATTCATCACCTCACACACTTACCATCTTCTCGTGGCCAGTGCCTATTTAGCTGCTAGAGAAAAAGAAAAATCCTTGTGGCTAGAACATAGTCTATTCTTCAAGTTTAGGGGTGTGTGACTTAATCGCTGCCTGGCACCGCCTTAGGTCTTTCTTATTTATAACTTGGAATATTATTGCTACAAAGAGTGCATTCCATCAATCTCATAATCTCTATTTTAACACTTTATAGATCTATATCTATCTAATCTTTTTATTTTTAAATTATTTATTTGTTTGTTTATTTTTGAGACAATCTCACTCTGTTGCCCAGGCTGGAATGCAGTGGCACGATCTTGGCTCACTGCAACCTCCACCTCTAGGTGGAGTGATTCAAGTGATTCTCCTGCCTCAGCCTCCCTAAGCAGCTGGGATTACAGGTGCGTGCCACCATGCCTGGCTAATTTTTGTATTTTTAATAAAGATGGGGTTTTTGCCATTTTGGCCAGGCTGATCTCAAACTCCTGACCTCAGGTGATCCACCTGCCTCGGCCCCACAAAATACTGGGATTACAGGTGTGAGCCACCTGTCCGGCCTATATCTATCTGATCTCTCTCTCTCACGTTTTCTTTTGTCCATTCATCTGCTGATGGACACAGTGGATTCCATGTCTTGGCTGTTATGAATAATGCCACAGTGACCATGGGAGTGCAGGTCTCTCTTCGAGATACTGATTTCTGTTTCTCTGGCTAGATGCCCAGAAGTGGAAGAGTTATTTCCTCCTGAGCCCTTTACAGATCCGATTTTCCTCTCCTTTGACTGTCATTGTGGCTGTTGGAATTCTGCTGTCAGTCTTATTGCTGTTTCCCAGGAACTGATCTTTCTTTTCTTTGGGGCTGGCTTAAAGATTTTCTATAATTTCACTGTGTCACCTTTATTTTTCTTTACTCTTAGTCCCTGTTGCGCCTCTCTGTGTATACTTATTTTTGATCAGTTCTGAAATATTCTCAAGCATAACTTCGTCAGTGATTGACTCTCTTTCCTTTGAGATTTCAACCAGACTCCCATTAAGCTCTCTGCACATGATCTTTTTTTTTTTTTTTTCATTTTTTCTTTCTCAGACTTAAGTGGGCATCTGAAAAATACCATTTGTTCTTATTTTTCCTATTTTCTATTTCCTTATCTTTTGTGCTACATTCTTGGTAATTTTTTTTAGATTTAACTTCTAGTTTATGAATTCTCTCTTCAGCTGTGTCTAATATGCTGTGTAATCTGTTTGCTGAGTATTTTTTTACACCTTTATTGAGATATAATTCACATACCAAAACACCCTTTTAAAGATACAAGCCAGTGGTTTGTAGTATATTTATAGAGTTGTGTGACCATAATCACTATTTTTAGAACATTTTCATCACTCCCAAATGAGTGATTTTATCACTTTATTTATTGGTAGTGCCTATTACCAGTTCCTAGGGAGGAACTGATTCCCCTATTCCAACCTTCTAGCACCAGGCAACCACTGAGCTACCTTCTGTCTCTCTTAGATTGTTCTATTCTGGACATTTCATAAAAGGAAAACCACACAATGTGTGTTTTCTTGTGACTGGCTTCTTTCAGTTACCGTAATTCTTTCAGGTTTCCGTTGACCTTTTCATTTCAATGAAAAATTTTTCATTTCTAGAGGTTCTATTTTTATTTTTTTTCTGATAAGCATGGTGACCCGTTTGATAGTGCTTTGCTCCTTACTTTAATGTATCTTAAGCATAGTAAATAGGCCAATTTTTATCCCATATTTGATATTTTCCATTTAGAAAGTTGTGGTGATTTAAATCTGTTGCTTGTCACTGTTCAACTGAGTCTCACTTGGAGGTTTACTTTCTTTAGATACGTGCTGATTTTTCACTTTGAACTTATATTTACTTCAGTTAAATTTGTGGGAACCCCGTCCCTAAGCTGTGGCTTGCTTTCTCTAGGGAGGATTCCTTGTTGGTTTTGTTTTCCCACGCAGGGGTGCTGCTGACCTGGGACCACCCTGGCTCCCCCGAGGGCTCTGTGTGGGTGGCAAGTGGAGAGTCCAGGAGAATGCACCCCCCCAGGGCAGCCCTCAATCAATGACTCTTGAGCACTGCTGTGAAAACACCTGTTCCCTCATCCCGTGGGTGAGCTCACCGAGGCTCACAGTTTGTGTCACTTCCCAAAGGCCCTCTGTGGGATTAGGCTCCAGTCCCCCACCATGGCGGTTTGCTTGCCTGCCTCCTCCTTACCCCGGATCACTTCTGCAGTCCCAGGGCTGCTCCCACACTGCTGACGAAATGGCTTGCCCTGGAATCTGTGCCTCAGGCTCTGCTTCTGAACCTCAGACCCAGTGCAGGCCCAGGTTTGCCCAGGACCACTGTGGCTTCTGCATCTGCCTCCTGCTCAGCGGGCAGACTTTGGGGGTCCATTATTCTATTTACTTCTTTCTTTATGGACTCAGATTTCTTTTACTTTCTTGAGAGCTCTGTATATTCTGAAAAGAACTGTGTTTGAGCCTTGATCCAGCTTTTGCCCTCTGCACCTTATGAATCTCAACTCCTCATTCAGGTCTCCGATAAAATGTCAGGTCCTGGGAGAAGCTTTCCCTGACCCTGAGGCAAATCGGGCTCCTGTCGTGGCCTCTTGTCCATCTCGTCCTTGCCTCTGCCCCTCTGGAGCCACACACGGAGCAAAGGTGTGCAGTCCCTGCAGCCCAAGCTGCTTAGGTTTTCATATCAGCTGTGTCACCCGTCACCTGCGTCGCCGTGTGACCCTGAGCAGGGAGCTCCAGCTTTCTGTGCGAGTCTCCTCATCTGTGAGATGGAAATGATACTATCTGCACAGCAGGGTTGTGGTGAGACTGTAATGATAATAGATATGAAGTGTCTAGAACAGGTGGAATCCACAGTACATGATCAATAAATGGTAGCTCTGACTGTCATATCCTGCCAGGCTAAGCTGCGTTAGGGGTCACCACTTGTCTAAGGTGAGAGTCTGCAGGGCGGAAACCAGGTCTATCTCCTCGTGTCCTTTCCCAGGGCCCAGGGCAGGACTAGGCCAGCAGGGAGCATGCAGTACATATTTTCAGGTCGAATGAAAGAAAGCAGGACCAAAGGCACGGTGGCAGGTAGGGGCTTCCCCAGGGCCCCCAGGAGGCGGATTTCAGGCACAGGGACACGTGCAAAGGCACAGCTTTTCCACAGCTGGAGGGCAGGGCGGGAGGGACAAGGAAGCCCAGACACGGGTCCAAGGCGCTGACGCCCTGGCCAGAATTTGTGCCTTTACCCTCGGGCGCGGGTGTGGTTGGCGACAGAAGTTCCTGGGACTGCAGATGCTGGTGGGGGTCTTCTTGGATGCTCAGGGGAGGAGAAAGGCTGGAACCATTGGAAACAGGAAAGCGGGGATGAGGTTGGGAGGGATGGGGAGGAGTGGGGAGCAATGGGGAGGGACGGAGAGGGATGGGGAGGGAGGGTGGGCAGCAGTGGGAAAGGCGGGTGGGCAGCAGTGGGGAGGGGCCGGGAGAAGGCGGAGGGCGGGGCCCCTGGGCTGGGCGTCAGACCCTAGTGGTCTTCGACCCCGGACCTGAGCCCGGCGCCACGCCAGGTGCCTCCACCTCTCTGCGTCTTTGTGCATTTTGCTTCCTTTTGCAATAAACGTTCTTCCGAGAAATTCCAAGGGGATCGCATCCAAGCGGAGGGGGAAGGGATCCTGCCCACGCCTGGGTAGGGGACCGCGGAGGCGGGGGAGGAGCAGGGGGCGCCGCGGGGGAGGGAGCGGGAACCCGAGGGAGAGAGCGCTGGAGAGCGAGGGGGCACGGAGGGCCGGGACCAGCTACACCTGTGTGGGGACCGCGAGCCCCAGGCACCCCCGCCCCGCGCGTCTCCCGCCGCCCCCGCCCCCCGCGCGGCCCCCGCCCCGGTTCCGCCCCGCCCCTCGCGCGGGGTCCTCGTCTGCGGCTGCGTTCCCCGAAAGACGAGGCTGCGCCCGGATTCCGGTCCGCAGGGAGACCGAAGGGCACCGCTCCCCGCGCCACGCAAGCCGCCCGAGCCCAGAGTGCGGACACCCCAGGGATGTGAGTGCGCCCCCCGATCCCGAGGCCCGCGCTCCTCGCCCCACCCGCGGTGAGCGCCGAGGCGCGCGCGGAAGGCCCGGGGACGGGACTCGGCGCGGGGTTCCCGGTCCCCCAGACCAGGGGTGGGGGTGGGGACCTGGAGCGCACCCCTCCCCCTGTGGCAGGTACCGGCTCCCGCCCCTGCCGCTCGTTCCGGTCCGGACGCACCTACGGCTCCCCGGGGAGAAGAGGACGCCCCCCTCCCCTCCCCACACAGGTGCGGGCGCGGGGCGTCTCGAGCTGTTCCCGCGCCCCGGAGTGCAGCCTTCTCCCAGCGGGGATGCTGTGACGGCGGGAGCTCTGGGGACCGGCTGGGGGTGGGGCTCTGCGCGCTCCGGCAGACCCCGGCCCTGGATTTCGGGTAGAAGGCTGCGTCCTGAGGCCCGGAAAGGAGAGGGTCCTTGGGGCCGCCTGACCAACGCTCCTTCCCGCCAGGCTTGCGCCCCAGAGGACCTTCGCCCGGAGACCCCGCGCCGGCCCCAAGCCCGCCCGGAGCATGCTGCCTGCAGCCATGAAGGGCCTCGGCCTGGCGCTGCTGGCCGTCTTGCTGTGCTCCGCTCCCGGTGAGTAGGGGTCCCGCGGGCCGAGTCAGGTGCCTGGGAGAGCCCGAGGCGCCGCGGGAGAGCCGGGTATGGAGCCGCCACCCTCTGACGGTTCCCACCGCGCTTCCCAGAGAGCCCACGCCCCCTCCGGGATCCCGGCGACCCGGGCCCTCGGCCGCTCTGCCAGCGCACTGGGCTCTCTCCAGCGCTCTTCCTCCAGGGCCGGGAGCTGGTGGGCGGCTGGGCCCGCATGGAAGCCCCTGGTCATCCGTCACCCCCTCCCGGGCCTCCTTTCAAATGCAGTTTGGTCCTTCACAGCTTGGAGCCCACAGAACGCGGGGGTGGGGGTGTGCGCGGGGGTCACTGTTGGTGTGGGGTGGTCTGTGTAGCCCGCATGTGTGTGTGTGTGCACACACGCGGGCGCGCACACGCACACCCACACACACACACCCACACACACACACTCATGCATGGGGGCCAGGCAGGGGCCATAGGAGCTCCCCTCAAACTGCCAGGATGGGGCACAGTTGTCCCAGGGCCTCTGCTCCCCCTCCAGGGGTCACGGTGGCCTGCTCACTCCTGTGGGTAAGGCTCTTCTAGGAGTGCTTGCAGCAGGGGGACGCAGGGGGTGGCCTGGTTCGGCCCCTAGTGCACCTGGTCATACCCCCATGCTCTGCCCAGCTCATGGCCTGTGGTGCCAGGACTGCACTCTGACCACCAACTCCAGCCAATGCACCCCGAAGCAGTGCCAGCCGTCCGACACGGTGTGTGCCAGTGTCCGAATCACCGACCCCAGCAGCAGTAAGTTGGGACTAGGGTGGTGGGGGAATGTGCCGAAAGCCAGGCTCTTGGGGAAGGTCAAAGGTGTCCTCTGAGCCCTTCTGGCCCAGGAGGAGAGTGTGGGGCTGCAGGCAGGACACTGCCATGCTGTGTGACAGCGAGCAGGTCCTGGTCCCTCTCTGGCTCCTTAGTGACCCTTTCCATCTAGTTGGGGCCAGCCTGGGAGGGTGGAGAGATTGCACTTTGCCTAACTGGGGCCCTGAGCTGACTCAGAGGGCACTGGGCTGGGTCCCCGGCAAGGCCGAAAGGGCCCAGGAGCCCCAGCCCCAGTCCCAGTCTGAGCTTTCTCTTCCCAGGCAGGAAGGATCACTCGGTGAACAAGATGTGTGCCTCCTCCTGCGACTTCGTCAAGCGGCACTTTTTCTCAGACTATCTGATGGGGTTTATTAACTCTGGGATCTTAAAAGTCGACGTGGACTGCTGTGAGAAGGATTTGTGCAATGGGGGGGCCGGTGCAGGGCACAGCCCCTGGGCCCTGGCTGGGGGGCTCCTGCTCAGCCTGGGGCCTGCCCTCCTCTGGGCGGGACTCTGAGGTCTTCTCCTTCCCACAGGGCTTCTAAGCTTGCTCCCCTGAGCCTGTGGCTGCCCCCTCCCTGGCCTAGCCTGGCTGGAGCTGGGGGCAGCCTTGGCCCAGCTCCGTGCCTGTGGCCAGTGGCTCTCTCTCCTCCCCCAGTGTGAAGCCTCCCTGTCTCTCCGCCAGCTCTGAGTCCCGGGCAGCTGGACAACCCCGGGGAACCCAGCCATCTGGGCAGGAGACCTGGGGAGGAGGGCAGGGGGTTGGGACCCCAGGTCCCGGAGGGGAAGTGAAGCAACAGCCTAGCTGGAAGGGCATCTTCTACAGAGAAATAAAGTCACTTTTGCGTCCTGAGACCCGGGTCTGAGCCTGGGTGTGGGGGCCGGGAAGGAGGGCTGGCGGAGAGCTGGGAATGAGGTGCCCAGGGAGCAGAGACGGGCGGGGGCAGGACGGGCGCTCAGCCATGCTCTCTGCTCCCGGGCTCAGGGCACTGGGGTGCTGGGTGATTGTGCTGGGCTGCTCGGGCCTGGTGAGGTTTGGGAGCACTTGGGGTGATGGGTGAGAGTTGAGAGGAGCAAGATCGCAGGTGGGCCTGGGGGGAGGCACCAGAATCTGGGTGCACACCGCAGACACCAGACTCGCACACACAGTGGTGCCCACGCAGCCACCAGCCTGTGCACGGGCTCATGCATACACACCGTGCCTGCCCTGCTCACACCCTCACACTCGCACACGTGCTGGGCATGCAGATAACTGGCACACACTGGCGTGTCCCGGCGCACGTGCACACGCCCACAGTCACACATCCATGTCTGTGCACACCCCCCCTTGGACGCTAAGCTTGCAGTGCACCCGGGACCCTGCGGACTCACAGATGTGAGCACACACGTATGCTGGCCCCCTCTCGCCCCCACCCCTCGCTCTTCGCCTCTGTGGGCTGCGTCAGGCTGAGTGGAGCCCTCGTGTTCTCTCACCCTGCCCCTTCTCTGGACATCCATCCTGGCCACTTCCGGCCCTGAGTTGGGGTCCTGTGGCCAGTGCCTGTGGCCAGGGGCTGAGGAAGCCCACCTGTCTGTGTGGGCTGGCCCAGAGGGACTGGATGCCTCGGGGTGAGGGGCCAGGGAAGACTCGGCCTGGGCAATGTGGAGTGATGTCCGGATCCTTCCCGCTCCAGTTTCAGCTGCATCCCTGCATCCAGCCCAGCCTCCCACACCCACTGGCCACCGTGTCCGATGCTGCACCGGTGGCTTGTCCTATGGCCCAGGCTCACCCTACAGTGCCTGGCAGGCACCCCAGGGTTCCTCTGAGGCCTGGTCTCTGGTCACTACTGCTTCGTGCCACCTGTGGCTGACCCAGTCTCGTGGCCACTGCTGGATCCTGGACTCATTAGGGAAAGCAGTGGTTCCTATAAGAGCTGGCCCTGCGTGAGTAATGGTGAGGAGTCAAGTTCAGGGCTGCTGAGCCAGGGAGACAGAGGAGGCCTGTGGTCCTGGGCACTGGCGCCGATTCCCTGCTGGACACAGCCAAGGGCTTTTCCACAGAGGGGCATCTGCTGTGCGATGCGCCCCCTGTCCCCGCCTCCCTTCAGTAAAGTGTGCTGCTCTTGTTTGTGCCTGGTGTTTTGGGGGTGGGGGGACTTGCAGAGAAGATGAGAATTCCCAGGGGGCTGAAAGCCCAGGAGCGATGGAACAACCTCCAGGGAAGCCTTGGGTGGCCAGGGAGGCCGTGGACAGGCTAGCCCAACCGGCGTAAGGCTTGAGCCAGTTTTCATATGAATTTTTGTATGCTAAATTTATTATCTGAAAGATATATTTAAAGACAAAAGAAAGTGTGAAATTCTCCCACCTCCTTGAGGAATCATAAAATCAGAAGGGCATGCCCTCACCTCTCCCTCACCTCCCACCCTGAGGCATTGCCAGGGTGGCACAGGCAGGAAGCCGCTGGCTCCCAAGCTCCCACACCGGCTAAGTAGGTTTCTCATCTCAGAGGAGTTTAAGTGGGGTCCCCACCTGACAAGTTGTCTTTGAAGGGCTGAACCTCACAGTCCACGTGAAGCCCTTGGTCTGCCGGGGCACACAGACGGTGCTGAGAAACGGACCTGCTACACAACTCTTTCTACTGAGCAATTCACCGGTGATGTCTTCCCAGGGTCCCATGTCCAGGCCAGCCAGTTTTCAACGTCTGCTTAGGGGTCCCCTGGATGAGGGAGCTGTGCATTTGTACCGTCCCTTATCGGTGGGTGTAGGGGTTTGCTCTCAAATGTCTATTGTCAGCAACACTGAAGTACCACCCTTGTCTTCATACCTCCATGGGCTCAAGTGGTAATGGGTGCAGGATTAATCCCGAGAAGTGACAGGAAATCTGACGACATCGCTGCTTCTGAAAATTCCGGACACACTGGCTGGCAACGAATGCTCTTCAGCTTGAGGAACGTTTTACCCGTCTCGTGGACAAAGGGAATCTCCCCGTTGTCTGTGTCAGCCACGCGTGCGTCTCTCTCGCCTGGTCACACCTTTGCCCCTGCTCCCATTGTGGCGTTTGTCTTTTTCCTACTGTCACCACCCTTTTGCATACTTTAGGGACACGTATCTTCCTGTGCTATACGTTGTGTGGATATTTCCCTGCTGTCTGCCGCTGTGTCTCATTGGTGGTGTTTGCACCGTGCGTTGCTGGATGTTCTAAGGTTTGACGCAGTCACAGCTGTCGAGTTGTTCTTTTGTGGTTAGGGGCTTTGTGTCTTAGGAGAATTTCCTCTACCCTTATCTTTTGAAAAGAGTTCCTTAATAGCTTTGCAGATTGGGTTACTGCAGTCACAGAGCCAATCCACCTGGAATTTATTTACAGTGTGGGAGGGGTAGGAGCTTCTTCCGAACGGCTGCTGTTTCTCAACATCCTTTACTAAGTAACCTGCCTCTGGCCCGTTGATCTGAGATGCCGCTGTATAACAGGATGCCTTCCCACATGTGCCAGGCTGTTTCTGAGCCGCTGCCCGCTGGGATTGCACCGGTCAGTTCGTCACGGGTCCTTTGATGCGATGCTGTTTCCGTGAAGGCAGCCGCCGGCATGTTGGACACTTGCTAAGGCAAGGGCCCTCCTTATTCTTCTTTTTAAACGCATGTTGCTATGTATCCCAGTCTATTCTCGCAGATGGACATTGGGATCCTGGTCTCTAGTTACAGAATAACACTGTCAGCATTCCGACTGGAATGCGTCTCTCTGGCACGTGAGGTTGGAGCAGCCGCCATCCGGACTGCTCTGTCTCCCAGTCACCAGCTCGGCGCCCCTCTGGCCTCCTCACTCGGCCTCCTGAGTGACGTCCCACTGTGCAGCTTTGCCATTCCCTTCCCGGGCTTGTGCTCGCTCCTTGGTGTACCACTGGGTCATTTATGGTTCTTGGTGTTGCAAATGGGATTTCCTTCCCACCTTACATTTAGTGGCCATTGTTGGTGTGATGAGTGGATGCTTTTTATTTTCTTGTGATTTATTTTCATGAGCCTCCCGCCCTGTTGAAGCAGGTGGGCTGGGGGTGCTTGCTGCCTGAGGGGAGGGGCTGATAGGGCGGAACACCGAGGTCCCCCAGACTCCTGGCTTGGTGCTTCCGGAAGCCTGACCTGTCAGGCCGTGAACCCCTCGGAGGCAGACAGTGAGGCAGAGGGGGAGTCCGAGGAGGAACCTCTCAGAACATCTCAAGACACTGTCAAGTAAAGGAAAATTGGGCTTTACAGGATGGAAGTTAGTTTTGTTCAGAAGCCTTGCTGAAGATTGCAACGGGGGTCACCCCAAGAGTTTCTGGTAGGCTGCTCCAGAGCTGTTCCAGCCCATGCCCTACGTGGAGCAGCGGCTCCGCAGGTGCCCAGGTGTGACAGCAGGGCGGAGCCTCGGGGCTGGGGCTGGGGCTGCATCTGGCCACGGAGCCTGGGGCACACTTGCAGACCCTGTCCACGTTCTCTTTCGTGCAGGAAGAAGCAAGGGTCAGGCTCGTTGAACTCATCTTTCTAAAGATGCAGTGATTCAGGCGGGAGCATGGGGACGGTCTGCAGCCAGCTCATGGCCTGTGGGGCACCCTTCCACAGGGCTGCTCTCAGTCCCCTGCCTGCTTCGTCTCAGAATACAGAGCAGGAGGGGGGCACTGCCCTCCACCAGGGATGAGAGACCCCCTGGCCCCAGCAGGGACAGGGGCTGCTGAGGGCTGAGGCTGGAATGGGTCCCAGAGAGAGGTTGCACCCGGCGTCCTGGGCAGCACTCCCAGAGCGCCAAGACCTCAGAATAGCCCCGGGTGAAGGTGGCCAGGGCAGGCAGGCCCCCGGTAGTCTCAGAACCAACGGGATGGGGCTAGGGACATAGACAAAGGAGAAGTCATTTGGTGGTGGCCTGTAGGCGCCGGGCACTGGCCGAGGCTGGGAGCCCCGGGGTGTCTCCACAAACGCCCTGAGTGGACACCCTGCCGCCTGCAGCCCCGGGAAAGAGGCGTGAGGGCTGCAGGCGCTACGACCACGCCCCTGGCAGCCGGGTAGGGTGGAGAGGTCGAGAAATAAATTGTAGGAACGAAAAAGTCGTGTTTCTCATTCAGCTTTGTGGGCTGTGCCCTTCTACCCTGGTATCTCCCAGGCCAGCGTCCACCAGAGTGTGTTTCAGCAGAGGGAGTCACAGTGGGGTTGCAGGGAGGGCTGGGGCCTCGGGCTGCAGGCGTGGCCTCCGAGAAGGACTCCAAGCTGGCCTGGCTGGCACCGCTGCTGTCCCGGGATCAGCATGCTGCCCCTGCCCCGTCCCGGGAAGGAGGCTGCCCCCACCTCTGTAGCTCGCCTTAGGAGTTCCGCCCGGCAGCTACACCCGAGGGCCTGGGAGGCTGCAAGACGGAGCTTCTGAATTCTGCCACGGGAAAGTGGGATTCATGATGCGGGAACTTTCAAAAATGTTTAGAGCATGTTCAGGCGAGTTGAGGCAGCCCCAGATGACACCGCAGGTCAGCAAGTGAGGGCTGCTTATTTCTGAATGCGAATCTTCCCAAATTCTGTGATTAGCAGAGTCTCGTAGATATTCAAGGGATATAACCGTATAATCAGCAAATAAAGAAGATTTGGTTGCTTCTTTCCTGGTGCTTATATTGCTCATTCAGCTTTTGTTTCTGTTGTGTTAGCTGAGCCCGCCAAAGCATGGCTGAATAAAACAGTGACCAGGGTGTCTGTGCTCATGGGAGGTCCTTCATGTAACGCCACAAATTAGCGTTTGCTCTTGGATTTCAAAGCCAGTCTTTATTCAGTCTAGATTCTTTACTTATTCAGATTTCATTTAGTCTTTTTATTAGGAATGGCTGATGAACTTAAAAGAAATGCCCTTTCATTATCTATTGCTAT